CAGTGCGGGTGGGGGCGTGCCTGTGGTGCCATTGACTTGAATGGCACCGTCACGCCCCCTCCTACCCCAGAATGCAGAAAGGCTTCCACCATGTGATCCACTGCATTACAGCAGCTAACCATGCTGGGACGCACTGGAGATGGTGTGAACTGGCCCTTAGGCCAGAGGATTAGTTCCACATTTGCAAGGAGTATGCTGCTATTTTACTACCCTTTCCTTCAGAGGGGAGCATATAGAGGGATCACTATGTATTCACAATGTTATGTACTCCACAAGTAGTATTCATTACAGTTACTTTCAGAGCGGCATGTTGACGTGTATTTCCACTTTTGCAGCCAAATTGGGAGAAACATCTATTTTATATTTGTTACATGTTCCCATTCACATCACATAAGCTAAAAACAATTTTTTAAAAATGCTTCTTGCAGTTTAAACTGCTTTTACGTGGGTTATGGTTTTAAGGGTTAACATTTCTACTTGCTTTTATTTCTTTGAAGTGTTAGGAGGGGCTGTGAGGGGTCTAAGTTGGCTTGTCCGTTGTATGTAATTAAAGCTTATCAGATAAACACAATCCTCAAATTTCAGTACTAAGCCTTTTCATTAGGACAGATCACGATCAAGATGCTGAGAAAACCTGGATTCAGCCATCTTGCCTGCTTGAACAAAACATCTAAAAGGTGTGGTAGGAAAGTAAAGAAAAATAAAAAGTAAAAAAAACAAGTGCATGGGACTTACCCCAAAAGTTATACCAGGCCCTTTAGGAATTTAGGGGCCCTTGTAGGTATTTTAAAGGGGGAACTTCACCCCCCAAAAAGGGGAGAAAAAAAGTGGATGCCCCTAAAATTAACTAACAGACCTTTAATTTGAGCACAGACCTGGAAGGGCAGGAAAGGGGGGGACGAGCGAGCGCCCCCCACTCCTTGCACCATACCAGGCCACATACCCTCGGCATTGGGAGGGTGCCTTTCCCATGCCGATGAGGACAAGGGCCTCTTCCGCTGCAACCCTGACCCGGTGGTTGTGGGGGTCTGCAGGCAGGGAGGCTTATTTGCATCAGGGTACTGGCTTTAATAAAGGGGGCACCCAGATGCTGCCCCCCCTAGTGAATGAGTAAGGGGTACATGTACCCCCTACTCATTCACTAAAGGGTTCAAGTAAAAAGTAAATAAAGAGATCACCCTTTAAGAAAAAATCCTTAAATTACAAAAAAAAAGTTTTTGACAAGTCCTTTAATACAAAACAAATCCCAAAAATTGATCCACCAACGTAATTCAGGGGTCAATCACGATGTCCAGCGTTGCCCACGATTTTGCCGACTGGTCGTGAAAAAACAAACGACAGCCAATGACCCGTCCGCACCTGATGAACTGCCGCCGCAGAATTAAAGTCTGACAGGTGCTGGTACAATGTCAACAACTAGGTGGAGTGCAGCAGCTGTCAAATGGGTCCCTGGCCGAATAAAAACAATGGCCAGCTCCACCCATTTGTTGTCATTCAATGACAGCCCACTGTTCTCAAATGACCTAAGAACAGTGGGCTGTCATTGAATGACAACTAATGGGTGGAACCGGCCGGCTGACTGCACCCATTGTTTTCATTCGGCCAGGGCCACGTTTGACAGCTGCCGCACCGCTAACTCCGCCTAGTTGTTGACAACAGTTTATGGGCCTGGATAGGGTGTTCAAACAAAGGAGAGGAAATCATATGAAGAGAGCCATTTCCAGAAATGAAACTAAGTGGATCTACCTGATGGAAACGATGATACCAAAGGGCTTGAACGTAGAATTAGACCTGAATTGCTTCCTATCTAACGATTAAGGTAGAATGGTAGATTACATTATCCATCATACACTTATTATGACCAATACTAGATAGAGAGAGGATATTCTAGATATACCATTGTTACCACAGAAACATTCATAATCTATCGAAACAAAAGAACAACAGAAAATATATAAATATAAATATTGATTATTGGTTGTACAATATATCATGTATTATAATAATTTCCTTCTATGATTTTATAGAGTATAACCTATATTCCCCTCTTAACCATGTATAGAGCATGTGAGAATTGAATTGAACATATCCCTTTGTTAACAAAACATTACCTCTGTACAATTAGTTATTCCTAATGACTGCCTACCCCTCTATATAATCACTGTCTAACTGATTTTATTTAGTTGACCCCAACCACAAGGCAGAAGGGTATATGACATAAAATATAAAACATAATGGCATTGTACTAATATCCTTCGCTATGCAAAAGAATATGCACATGCACTTATGTAACTTTAACATCTATCCCGAGGTCTGTACATATATCTAACCAAGATACATCCACATCCACACACTATACAGGACAGCCAGACCCTATATGGATCCCAGCTACACAGCATTTATACATTTAGTTGTATCGCCCGAGCTAGTCCGTCTTCCAATATATCATGTATACCAATTTGACCTCTTATATCCCAGTTAGGGACTTCTTAATTTCTTTTACATGTCTCCTAGAATTTTTGATTTAACCATATCAGTTGGATAAAGCGTATTGGCACTTATTAATACCAGATATAGATTCAAATGTGAAGTAATACCAGCTATTAAAAACCTGTAGCTAAATATTTTAGTTTTTTATAATGGTATATAATTTTTTATTATATGAAAGCTAACTTTTCAATTCTCGTTTTTAAATCTATTTTTTAACCTTTAGATTGGTCATTTGGCTGTTAGTTGCCTGATGATATTAACAATTAATGATCTTTGTATTCAGTATATCGAAATGTAACATTGATCCTCAGAGTGATGTGAACCTGGGACTATTTTATTTAGAGAGATGAAACCAGTACCAGCTGTTACTGTTTAGGGTAATTTGATCACTTTAAATTAAGTTCTGTGAGAAGCGAAGACATGACTCCTTTTGAAAAAGTTAAATCAACGAAACGCGTCAAGGAAGATCTGTCTCCGCCGCTCACAGCTGATATTTTCTAAACGATTTTAAGCTTGATTAATTCATTTATCTTGTAAGTGCAATTTATATAAAAAAAAAAAGAAATAAACTTTTTTAATTACTGCACTTAGAAGGTCCCGCCTTCTTTCTCCATTTTTTCCCCTGGGAGTTTTTCAACAGGCCTTCGCCGTCAGTTGGGCGGTGAGTCTTTAGAAAACCCGTTACAAGAGGAGAAAACTATACCAGATTGCTGGATCTGGAGAGAAAAGATTGTGCCGGATCATTATAACCACAGACCTTTCCGGATTCTCTGGGCCATTGTGTGGTCTGACATGGTTTTTTGCGGACATCCCTGAGGAATCCTCTGGTGAACGAACAAACTTTCCACTCAGACATCACGGAAATAAGGAAAGTAACTACTGTTTTATGCAAACCGCAATTTCTCTGAAATGACTGCTTGCTACATTGTCGCTAGGACTTGAGCCAATTAACCCCGCAGTTCCTGCTTTGAGAGGAACCAGAGCGCACTGGGTTGCACCGTATTTTCTATCATTTATTATTTGTTGTTTAATTATCATACAGATTTATGTATTATATAGTTTTTTTATATGCCTTTTTTTTCACTTATGATTAGTGACTATACACATTTTTTTCACCTGTTGGACTTCATACACAGTGTATTTATATTAATTGATCATCCACACATACACTGTTTCATAAAAATGTACATACGGATGTTTTTGCTATAACTGATTTGTTCAGTATGTCAAAGCTATTGTTGACATTGTAGCGGCATTTGTCAGACTATCATTCTGCAGCGGCAGTTCGCCAGGTGCGGACGGGTTGGCAGACATCGGGGTTTTTTCATTTTGACAAGTCGGCAGCGTTGTGGGCAATGCTGGACATCGTGATTGACCCTCGGATTACATTGGTGGATCAATTTTTGGGATATTTTATTTTTTAAAATATTTTTTCTTAAAGATTAAGGGTCTGGTTGTGAATTGTTGGGGGAATCCACGTTTTCCCCCCCATTTTTGGGGGGTGGATTTCCCCCTTAAAATTCCTACCAGACGTATAGGGCCTGGTTGGACTTTTGGGGGAAGCACCACTCACTTTTTTTTTTACTTTTTAACTCGGGGGCCCCTACTAACTTTCTTACCAGACCTAAAGGGTCTGGTATGAATCGGGAAGGGGACCGCACACCATTTAAATTTTTTTTTTATTATTTGTTTACATTTGCAGGGAGAATGGACTGCTTCCGCAGACCATTCTTTCTGCTTCGGCTGTGACTTCAGCGCAGCCGAGCCAAAGCAAATGCGTTCGCCTCGGCTGAGCTGTCAGGCTGCCTTCAGCTGCTGTACGGGCTATCGTTAAGAGCCTATACAGCAGCCCTTCGGTTCGACTGAACCGAAGGGCTCCGGCGGCCAAAGTGAGCTGAAGGATCAGCCGAAGCTACAGCTATATTCTTTAGCTCTTTAGTGAATAACTCTCTAAGAGTGTAGTAAATGTTTCTGGAAATCCTGGTGCAAAGCCATTTTCTTGGACTTATTTGCGAAAGGTTTGAAGTCCAAGTTATACCCTTTATTGGCTAACTTAAGTTTTTAAAGATCCAGGCTTTCAGCATGACTAAGAATACATCTTCAGGAAAGCCTGAAATAGGGATCTAAGTCATCCCAAAAGCTTGTATCTTTATAAACGTAAGTTAGCCAATTAACTACAGAATTTTTTGCATTATTAGATGGCTAACACGGACCACTACTTTAATTTTGCACTTATTTAATTCAATATATAAGACAAAAATATTCAATATAATATTTTGCAACTAAACTCTATTGGGGGAATTTATCAAAACTGGAGCAGACAGAATCTTGAGCAGTCACCCATAGTAACCAATCAGCCCCTCACTTTCATTTTTAAAGCTTAACTGAGCAAACTGAACAGAGAAGCTGATTGGTTACTATTGGCAACTGCTGCAGATTCTGCCTGCTCCAGTTTTGATAAATCCCCTCATATGCACTTAAATATGGTCTTAATTACATCTTAAACTTACTTTCTGAAGGTTCTTTAGAACGTCTTCCACTGGAGGGCTTCCTTAGCAGACTCCTTCCTGAGGTAAAGAGGTTTGATAATTCCTCAAGGGGACTTGTTGGTGTTCTGGAACGTGAGCTGCTTTGAGATGCACAATAAGTACTGGTAGATGAATGCATCGACTTCCCTTCTTGTGGTGTATTTCTGCCAGTAGAATGAGGCACTGATGGAGAACTTCTTGAAAGACTTCCTGAATGCACAGAATCATAGGGTGGAGGCCGTTTTAGGCTTAGAGGAGTCAGTGACCTACCCATGCTTACAGGGGAAGGAGAAGCAGAATGACTTTTAGGATAGCCATGGGGTGACTGTGTTCTGTATGTTGCTGAAGCATGTGGTGGTGAAGAGGAATGCCCAGATGAAGTACTTCCATGCACCACTACTGCTTGGTCTTTCTCCACTTTCTGATGCCCTGGAATGTGTGCTGTATGTGAAGATGGTGAACTAGCAGTTTGCTGCTTTATGTAAGACACATTTTCTAACACAGGAAGCTTTGCCACTTCGAGAGGAGTTAGAGGGGATTCATCTGAATTTGGTGAACACTGTGCTGGTGCTGGTGGAAACACCAATAAAGGAGGCCTTTGAGAGAGTAAATTTGGAAATGGAGGGGGAATATCACAAGTCTGGCCTTTGGGAGTTGATGGTACTGAGGACTTGGTGAATTCTAAATCAGGCACTGTAGGAGTAGGACACTGAGAAGAACAACTAATATGATCCATTTCATAAAGACACCTGGAATCTTGACTTACATCATCAAATATAGGATATTTCATTTCTTCATACACTGCCTCGCATTGGTCTTCCTCATCTTTTTTAAAGTCTCTTAATATATTTCCTACCATCTCTATATAAACAGGTTCATCATCTCGGTCTAGAGAAGCACTGCTGAGCTGAGATGAAGATAATTCTCTGAACAGGCGGGCCTTCATTGGACCATGCTTTTTGATGTATGTTTCATCAAATGATGTGCTGAGATGAGTTGTTGGGTTCCGTTTGGGTTTGGGTGGAGGAATCTTCTTTGTGTACTCGTCACTGTGAGGTCTTTGCTTTGCTGTCACTAGGGAATCAAAGAAAAATAAATTAAAGAAAGGCATATGCAGACAAGATTCTATCTGTGCTTTATAAATCACACTAAGTTGCAAAACATGTTTGGATATTTAAATGGAATGTATTGCCTCGATACTTACCTGGCATAGAAACCTCTGATGGAAGAAGTGATCTTCTGACTCCTGGGATGACAGATTCTCTATAAACAGATGCCTACAGCAAACCAGTGCATTTGAAAAATATCAGGTTCACTTTAATTATAGCACTCCGCAGCAGCATGTACTTACCTTCATTTTGCCCCTCTGCAGCTGCCAGGAGTGAAGAAAAGTCATGTGCAAGCATCATGTGTAAGCTATGAGTCATAGCTCACACAGGGCCCTAAATGGCCAAAGCACTGGTTTGCTTTGCAGGAGATCAGTGCTCAACTGGCCACACACAGCTATATTAATAGTCTAATAATAATAATAATAATAAAAAATGATGACTAATAGAGAGGTTGAAATAATTACCTCTCCTGACAAAAATTCTACTTTCTACAGGTTCCTCTAGTGCAACTCACATAGCCAAAAATCTAGGTACTTTGTGATGTAATCCCTACTAAAATGGAGAAATGGAGTTCAGAGTAGTGGATCCTCCCCTTAAAGGCCAACTTCAACTTCGGTAATAAAGTGAAAAACTCATTCCCGAGCAAAACATAAAAAGGAGCTCTAGTTGCTATATTTACCTTATTTTTGGCACTGTCATGACACCCAGCATTATTCAATCCACTTTATAACTCCGCCCCTCCCCTGCACTTACAGGAAATAGCTGAAAAGAGTGGTTTCACTCTCTGCAGGATTTAGGATCCACCCACCACCAGAAGGAAGAGGAAAATGGTGAACCAGACTGGACTAAAAACACCTGGAAAAAAGTATGTATGAATATATATAAGGGGGTGAGTCAATGGGGGTTGGAAGCATATATGGTGGGGATAGGGGTAAAATGATGCCAAGCCCAGAGTTGGGCTTTTAGTAGATCATATGACCAGTTGCCTAGACACTGCAAACTGCCCCTAGCAGTAGTTTCTGGGTAAAGGTGAATGATTCAGACCTTCAATTACTCTTCTTATCTATCCTAGATAGACTGTTAACACAGCTTTAACCAGTTGACATCCGCGGTGTTAAACCCCCTTCCCATCCAGGCCATTTTTATGATAGAAGAAAAATAAGACAGCTGCCAAAGTTGACTTGATTTTTTTAAAAAGCAGAATCTGGAGCTGTCATACGTATCTCATTCAGTCACTAAAATGGAACAGGCTTGCAGGCAGGAGGTCTAACTTTTCAATGGCTGTATGCTTGCTCCAGGCCAGTGACTTAGGAGGCAACAAAGCCAGAACCAGAATGACAGTCCCATAGTTTAAAACCTTTAAAAGCTACATCAGCAATTGCAGTTCCCTTATTTTTATCTTCACAGGCTTTTTTTTGACATGTATAATATAAGTACAAGTATAGTATAGTTTAGGTATAAATCAGTTATAAAAATGCAAAGCAATCTTGATTAAGTGTACAGCTTGTATATCAGTGTACATTTGCTGTCCCCTCAAAATAAATCAACACATAGCCATTAATGTCTAAACCGCTGGCAACAAAAGTGAGTACATCCCTAATTGAAAATGTCCAAATTGGGCCCAAAGTTTCAATATTTTATGTGGCCACCATTATTTTCCAGAACTGCCTTAACCCTCTTGGGCATGAAGTTCACCAGAGCTTCACAGGTTGCCACTGGAGTCCTTTTCCACTCCTCCATGACGACATCACGGAGCTGGTGGATGTTAGAGACCTTGCGCTCCTCCACCTTCCGTTTGAGGATGCCCCACAGATGCTCAATAGGGTTTAGGTCTGGAGACATGCTTGGTCAGTCCATCACCTTTACCCTCAGCTTCTTTAGCAAGTCAGTGGTCGTATTGGAGGTGTGTTTGGGGTCGTTATCATGTTGGAATACTGCACTTCGGCCCAGTCTCCGAAGGGAGGGGATCATGCTCTGCTTCAATATGTCACAGTACATGTTAGCATTCAATGAACTGTAACTGTTGGCATTCAATGAACTGTAGCTCCCCAGTGCCGGCAGCACTCATGCAGCCCCAGACCATGACACTCCCACCACCATGCTTGACTGTAGGCAAGACAGACTTGTCTTTGTACTCCTCACCTGGTTGCCGCCACACATGCTTGACACCATCTGAACCAAATAAGTTTATCTTGGTCTCATCAGACCACAGGACATGGTTCCAGTAATCCATGTCTTTAGTCTGCTTGTCTTCAGCAAACTGTTTGCGGGCTTTTTTGTGCATCATCTTTAGAAGAGGCTTCCTTCTGGGATGACAGCCATGCAGACCAATTTGATGCAGTGTGCGGCGTATGGTCTGAGCACTGACAGGCTGACCCCCCCACCCCTTCAACCTCTGCAGCAATGCTGGCAGCACTCATACATCTATTTCCCAAAGGCAACCTCTGGATATGATGCTGAGCATGTGCACTCAACTTCTTTGGTCGATCATGGCGAGGCCTGTTCTGAGTGGAACCTGTTCTGTTAAACAGCTGTATGGTCTTGGCCACCGTGCTCCAGCTCAGTCTTGGCAATCTTCTTATAGCCTAGGTCGTCTTTATGTAGAGCAACAATTCTTTTTTTCAGATCCTCAGAGAGTTTTTTGCCATGAGGTGCCATGTTGAACTTCCAGTGACCAGTATGAGAGAGTGAGAGCAATAACACCACATTTAACACACCTGCTCCCCATTCACACCTGAGACCTTGTAACACTTATGAGTCACATGACACCGGGGAGGGAAAATGGCTAATTGGGCCCAATTTGGACATTTTCACTTAGGAGTGTACTCACTTTTGTTGCCAGCGGTTTAGACATTAATGGCTATGTGTTGAGTTATTTTGAGGGGACAGCAAATGTACACTGATATACAAGCTGTACACTCATTACTTTAAATTGTAGCAAAGTGTAATTTCTTCTGTGTCGTCACATGAAATGATATAATAAAATATTTACTAAGATGTGAGGGGTGTACTCAGATACTATATATATATATATATGACTTGAAGATATCTAATAGGATATGTGACCTTGTCTGATTCCTTCAAAACTTTAATTGCCTGTCTTTAGCAACTTAGTGCAAAAAGAAGTACCTCAGCGGAAATATTTAAGGTGATACAATCTCCCCAAAAAGTTTTCGTCTATCATATTTGCACAGAATTATATTTATTTCACAGCCTTATGAATACATTTTACCAGTATAAATGAATCAGATATCATGTGATCATTAGGTATCTTTGCTTAGATTTTTACATATATGAGAATAGATGAACCATTAATCAATGCATCAGTTTATAAAAGGAGGTGATCCATGAACATTAAAGCAGAACTCTAGTGAAAAAAAAATATATAATGCTTCAAAGCTAACCCTCAATCCAAAGCTGCCCCCTATGTTCCACAATCAGATGCTTTCAGTCTTCAGCATTGAATGATGGCCAGCATCACTCAAACCATTCTTCTGAGCTTAGGCTGCCATAGGCTACCTTCCACCCTGAAAGAAGATAGTTAACGCAGACTTTTATCCATTTTGACTAAAAATCACATCAGCATACAACTCTGCTTGCTGATATGAAATCATCTTACATTGATTAGCTAAACAAACATATTTTTATTTTACTTACAATTTCTTTTTTTCCCCACTTCCTGGTCACAAATTATGTACAGTAATTGTGCCCAAGCATTGCATCCTGGGAAGGTTATATCTGGGAAATCTCATCTGTAATCTCATAAGATCTCAGGGAAATGCATTTTCCTCCCCTGAGATGATGTGCATGGTCACATTTCCTAGTCACATGTGCTAGGGCACCCAGAAAGTATAAAATGGCCACTGTCATAAGAACAGGGAAGACAAGAAAAATCAGGTATGCAGAGAAAAAAAAGCTGACAATTACCTAGAAGTATCTGTTTGCAGATTGCCATTACTAAACATTTCTAAAGGTGCATTTGTTGTTATTTTGAAGTTATGGTAAAGTTCCTCTTTAAGAAGACATAGTACTATGATGAGCTGATCTCTCTTTGCTTCCTCCTCCTTCCAGCATGCTCCTTGTCAGCACATGAGCTAATTGGTTGCTAGTGCTGCTTCTCCCTCTTCTAGTCTGAACTTTGTTGTCTAGGGGACTGCAAGAGGCTGTTGCCAAGTCCAATTGCTGGTACTTACAATGCTTGCATTTAAAAAATACATTTAATGATGCATTAAAGAATACAGAACTGCAATAATTGGTTTCTTTTATATCTGCCTAAGAGTACTGCTTTAATAGATCCAACAGATGTTTTAATTTTCTCTTGTTGCACAGTTTTTACAATAGAGGTCAGTATGGAGTATGATCATAAAATATTTAGTATGCTGGAGACTTAGCTTTTGCTAAGTGGCAAGTTATACTAATGTACATTTTGTTTAGCAGTTTATCTGTTACAATTTTTGCTATTTCAGTCTATAATACAGTTAGTAGCTAGGTGAAGAACCACAATCATGTAGAAACCTAACCCTTTCTCTTACACTGGCAATAAGCAAGAGACCAGATTCGCTAAAGTACCAGCATCTCGTTTAGAGGTTATATAAGGTGACCATGATTTATTTCTGCCATGAAATATGTTAGTGGGCCTGACAGTGTCTGGCTTTGATTTATAATCAACTAGCATTGTAATTAGCATTAATTTCATGAAGTGTGATTGATTTTCTTTTTGCATATGGCTTTTCATATGGAAGAACTTTGATTTTGAAAAGTAACGTTTCTGTAGTGAAAATTAAAAACATGACGCAGAAGCTCCGATTTGGAATTCAAGAAACTTACAAATATGAGATCCTCGATGAAGAGGCATTTCAGTGCTCACTATGTTGTTTTGAATTATAAATGTGCCGCACAAGCATATTAAAAGTGATACATGATCTTTATTTAAATCAAACAAAATAGGTCACATGTCTGTTGTTT